GAATTCTATTTCTAGTGTTGTGGATTGACCCCTGTGACAGGAAGCAGCTGTGTGGTGGAATGAATTTGTTTGTGAATCTGGTATTGAGGCCATGGGACTGCTTTAACCCGTCATTAACGTATACTGTATTGACTGAGATTCTACCATGTACAAATAAAAGAATTGCACCACAAAATAATCTCAAGTGGATCAAACAAAGGTTCTAATATAGACAGACTCACAGCACAGCAATAGAAAGACACAGGAGATAATACAAGGCCCGGTATAAGAGCACAAGAGTAGTCCTCCCAAGAAACTGTAAGATGCTGGCACCCATCTGGGCACTCAGAGATTTAGATTAAACCTTTAGCAGCTGGAGTTTCTTGATGCCTCATATTCTGGTATATTTGTTCTTTAAGCCAATTTTGTGATCTGGATAAAATAATCTGCATTTGAATACCTCCTTCAGGCCAAGCACTGGGCAAGATCAACCTACGACATCTCATTTTATAGTCATGACCACCATTGAGCTACGTATCAATAGATAGCACCACTGCCACAAATAAATTCATCCCACCATAAAATGCCCCTTGAGATATAGGTGTCCCTCCCCACATTCAACATGTAAGTAAACACAGCTAGTAAGTGTTGAATCCTAGGCACAAATCTATCTCTGACTGACATTAAAACTCTTGCTCATTAGAAAATATCTGTTCTCGCACGCTAACGAAAAAGAGTAGAAAAAGATGCATCTCATTGTTAAGACACTGTACCAATACTCATTTATCCTCTTTGTCTCTAAAGTCAGCTCACTAAAATAGTATTAATACTCCCACATACACCCAAGGAAACCAGCTCAGATAGATATGCTAATTCCTTTACTCGATCCTCACCATTTCTTGATCACCTGTATCAGGGATTCCCAGTCCCCAAGCCATGGACCCAGTGCTGGTTTATGGCCTGTTGGGTGCTCCCCCCTCACCACAAAATCTCTCCTCATAAGGGAAATGCAGATTAAAACTACAATGAGATATTATTTAACTCTATTTAGAATGACTAGGATTAAAAAAATAAAGAACAACATATGGATGAAGCTGTGGTGAAAAGGGAACTCTCCTACGCTGTTGGTGAGAATGTAAATTAGTTCAACCTCTATGAGAACAATGTGGAGATTTCTCAAAAAACTACAAATAGAACTTCCATATGGCCCAGCAATCCCACTTCTTGATATCTACCCGAAGGTTAAGAAAACATACAATTGTAAAGACATCTGCACACTCATGCCTATTACAGCATTATTTATAATGGAACCAACTTAAGTATCCCGAAACTGATGATTCATTTGAGGAACTGTGGCATGTATGTACTATGGAAAATTACACAGCTATAAGAAGCAATGAGATCCTATTGTCTAACTCAAAATGGATGAATATAGAAGATTTAATGTTGAGCAAAGTGAACCACACTTTTAAAGATACACATTGTATATCCCCACTCAATTTGACTGAGTGTCTGTACTTTATGGCAGAGGGTGAGAGACCAGAAGAAGTGATTGATGGTGGAGAGGATCAGTGTGGATGCTAGTGACACTAAGGGGAAAAGGGGTTGGTAGAGAGTAGGTGGTGGATAGTAGGTGTTAAAATAAAGAAAAAAGATTATAGATGACAAACTTTTGTTTACAAGAGAAAAACAAATAAAAACCTTTTTTTATATTGTCTGAAATAGTTCACAATTGTATCTGTTAATTTATGTCTTCAAAAGAACACTTTGCCTAAAAGACTGACTAGTGTGCAAAACGTTTACAATCTTTTGTGAAACTGCAGTTTATCATTAATTAGTATCTGTAAGTTATTGTTATAAATATCACCTCTATTTTTTTTTTTTTGGAGAGGTTTTTGCTATAGGGCGCATGTGCTTGCCAGACAGACAGAGAGAGAGACAGAAAGCGAGAAATCACCCCCCAGGGGGGATGACCATGCCGCAATCCCTTCTCCATTCTCCTCTCGGGATCTTGGGCACGCATACACATGCGCCCGACGTGAGTTTAAGCCACCAGGTCCGGGACTTGAACCGCTATTGACTACGTGGGAGTCCAGCGACATAACCATTACACTAACTGCTGGTCCCAATCACCTCTATTTTTGATACATGTGAAATTGAAACTGAAATTTATTTTGCCAATATTTTCTGAACTGAATTAAGTTTTTGTTGGAAGAACATTGCAGACTAAGGACCACAGTAGCATAGCACAGACATGCTATATAGGCCCGTGCAGGTGAGCTGTGCAGATGTTCTGGGATTAGGGGTGGGAGGAACATTTGGGAAGGATTTCTGGGGGAATTTGACAGAATGAGTACGGAATTCATGTGGAAGAACACACATGTCAAACAAAACAGCTTAAAATAGAAGCACAATGGGGCAAGAGGTGCTACCTACAAGCAATATTATAATGCAGCATAGCATTGCTAAAGAAAGCCATCCAAGCAGAACACTTCTCAGGGTATCTGGATTTGAGGGTAAACTGTCAGAAATAGCATCACTGAAAAGTGCTAATAAAGAGAACAATGGAATTCTCTTTTTCTTGCTATAAACTCATAGTACATTTTGGTAAATTTTTACACATTTTTAAGAGGTTAGTTCATCCCACTCTAGCACTGAAAATCTCCAACTTAGCTAATATCATTTAGACCCTTTGTTGATTTTCAAACTAACTTTTGTAGAAAAACAGACAGTGCTAATTCTAGTTCAAAGGACTTTCCACAGGAAACAGAAACAAACAAGTGTGATCAGCACAAGGAAAATGCTTCTCCCTTCACCCCTAAATGACTTGAGAAACAGCACAGTAAAAGCAGGTAAAGCACTTTCCTTGAAGTAACTATTGTTGTCTGTCGCTTCTCCCAAGTTTTTTCTCTACCTGATTTCTGCCATGCTCATTGCCATGTGCTCACTCCACCCTCACCACCAAGCAAATTTGTTGCACCACCCATCTGGCCCTGGAATCTTAAGCTGTCCTCCTCACACTCAAGACCTAAGTAAACACAGCTAGTAACTATTGGATCCTTGGCTTGCATGTATAGAAACACATGCGCTTGTACACACAGATCAACCTTCATCTTCTATTTCAATACTTTTTAAACCCAGGAATCACAATATGATAGAAATAAACTACCTTTGTTAAAAACTTGTTACATAATTAAACTTATTTGTGGGATACATTTTTTTCAGTACATGACTACAATGAATAAAGATCAAATCACATTAATTAGCACATCCATCATCTCATTTGTCATTACTTTGTGTTGGAACTGTTCAAAATTCTCTGTCTTGACCAGTTTGGAATAGACAATAGAGTATGTGTAGGGTCATAAGAAAATGGATATGCAAGGATTAATAAAAATAGTCTAAGCTGAACCTTACTTAAGGACATAAATTTGCTCAAGGTTAAGGGCCCAAGGTAAAGAAGAGCTTTTACAAGTGGGGAAAGAAGCATTCCAAAACCCCTTCTGAAACCACCTCCTGTAAGCAATCACCTGTGCTTGAGACATGCTCTGTACTCCTGAGGAAACGACCAGCACTCCCATCCAGACCAGAGCCTGCTGAATTTGTCCTCATCCTCCCCTGGGAAGGAGGCCCTCCCCACCAAAAGGCATGAACTTAAGGCACTTGCTTTAGTTTCACACTGGATACTTTCTCCAGAACTCTCCCGGCCACCCCCTGCCATGCTCTAAGTGCTAATAAACTTAACTTCTGCTCATGCTCACATTTCTGCCTCTAATCAATACTTTTTTTTTTTTCTAAGAGAAGTTTTTGCTATCGGGCACGTGTACTTGCCAGAAAGACAGAGAGAGACAGAGAGACAGAAAGCCACAAATCACCCCCCAGGGGGGATGGCCATGCCGCAATCCCTTCTCCATTCTCCTCTCAGGATCTTGGGCAGGCACACACATGTGCCTGGCGTGAGTTTTAAGTCACTGGGTCTGGGACTCGAACCACAGTTGACTACATGGGAGTCCAGCGACATAGCCATTACGCTAACTGCTGGTCCACCTAATCAATTCTTTTACCACCTGCACACCAGCCCTACTGCCCCACTGTAGAGTACTGTTAATTATAGATACTATATATACTACATAGCAGAAGAACTTATTCTGTTGCCGGCTAAAATCAGGCAGCCATTTCTGTGAATAATCTAGAGGTGAAGCAAAGAGGGAGAAATGGAGTTTATTTAGCTGTGTTGGAGCACAGGGAGTGGCCGAGAGCTAATGAGCTCACAGCCAACTCTCCGAACAGAATTTCCAGCCCATTTTATATTGTTACTCTTCTCGTTTGCCTATCTTATCTTCATGGTTTTCCCAAAATTATTCTGTGCACCTTTTCCTTTCATATGACATTTATGATCCTGTTTCTGTTCTAATGGCAACACTGAATCTGTTAACTCCATGCATGACTTGTGACATACATGGATAGATCAAGGGAAGTTACAACATATTTCTTTAAGCTATACTGTCTAACAAAACAATCTAAACATCTGTGAGTAATTTTTATGTTAAATTATAACATCATTACAATTTTTCCAATTTAACCTGTTACATTGTGTCCCTTAAGCAAACATTCTATCTTGTAAGATTTCTCCTCTGGGCTTCACCCAGTGCATTCTAGAGACCCATTGTCTAGACCAAGTGCTTTAAGTGTCTTCTTCTAAGCAAACAGGCTTATGTAGGACACTACCTGTTGTAGTAGTTACAGATTACATTAGTTACAGAAGCTATAAGCACCAGTTAACCTTTAACATATAAGAAAGAGGAAAAAGGTAAAGCTGAAAACACAGTTAAAAAATTCTTTCTCCCGGTTACAATTCCTTTTATTTAACTTTCACATTATATGTATACATTATCCAGCACCACTCAAAAATCCCAGTCCCCTAAACAGCCTTCCTCATAATCAGCAAAATTAAAAAATAACAACGTATTACACAAAAACAAAAGTGAAACCAGTTTTTGACTTCCTGCTCTGAAGAAAAATGCAGTCCCCTCTCTTACTCACACAGAGAGCCTGACCTGGACTGGAACTGTGAGCCGGCAGCCTACCCAGCTCAGAAAAGGAAACTGCTCTCTACACAGATATCTCTGGAGGAACCCAAAGATGGGAGTTTGTCCACAACGACTCAGGTAGGTGGTGAAGGAAATGGGAAATGATAAACAGAGATACAAGATTAGACCCAAAGCCTAAGAGAGAAATGGAAATTGATGGAAACAGTCAAAGGAAACAGACAGAAACACAGAGATTAAGGCCAGCTAAGAACAAATACGAACTTGGTTTCCTCGTTGCACTAAAAAATAACTATAAACCTAGAAGAAGAGAGAGCACAGAATATAAACAGACAAGAAACAAGTTAGGAGTTTGTATTATCACATAAAAACAAATTTTGACTTAAATAAAGAGAGATTTTATTCAAAAGGATTAATGTAACACTGGGAAGGGATATTGTAATAGGGAGGACAATCCAAGCAAAAGAGTTCCAAGCAACTCAAGATGAGGCAAAAAGGGATTTTTTTTCTTTTTAAGAATTATTTATTTACTTATATTTATTGTCATTTTAATTTTGCCATAGGGCACACATGCCCATGAGAGAGAGAGAAAGTGAGAAAGCAAGCTGCCAGTCCAGGACTTGGTCAGCACTCGGGCATGGTGGAGTCCAGTGCCTCAACTACCAGGTCACCCTCTGGCCCCAGGGACTTTCTTTTATGGTGAAAGGTGGAACGTGTTTTCCTTGAGGCCAGCAGGTTTTTAGAAAGGCCCTTTAAGTGAGAACTTATATCCTTACTCAGAAGGAGTGGAGGTAAAGTTCGGGAATCTGAAGGAAGGAGATGTTTAAATCTGTCGTTTGGTCAAGAGAGCAGATACTGTGTTCCTGTTGAACAGTGGGGTGAACAGTTCAGTGCATCTTTTTTAAGGGAAAGAATGAAGAGTGTAAAGTACATGTGTCTGGCCTGGTATGAGTGAAAAATAGGAAGTGTGATTCTTATCTAAGTCCTGTGAGGAAGGGTGGTTGTTTGCAGTATGCCTTTTTAAAGAACACAAAATGGCAGGTAGATTAACCACTGATGTTTTCTAGAAACAATTGAAATTTTAATGTTGTTAACCTAACTCATGATTACCAACTGCTCCTGTGAGCACAGGAAAGAGCTACTAACTTAACCAGTAAGATCAATAAGATCAATGACAGACTTCACAAATAAAGAGAAGCTTGAGCTGAAGCAGAAGTTTAGAGCCCAGGAAGACAAAGCCTGGACGGGCTCCAGTAGCTAACGGTACTGAGTCAAGGAATGAGCCGAGACAGAGGGAAGACTGAGGAAGAGCGCAGTGTGGCTCCTGAGGGAACAGTGCACTCTCACAGGTGATAAGAAAGGAACGAGTAGATAGGGCGGGAATCATAAATCAGTTGTTGCCAGATTATGAATCAGAGTCAATTAGTATCGATTGTATTATAAATTGTAGCAGAGGTTTCAAGATTTTGTACAGAAGAAAGGAAATGATTTAAATATAATTTTCAGGATGTAATATGAAGAGGGACTACAAGGGGGAAAGAAAAAGATTCAGCACTTATTTCAACAGAGCAGTTAACAAAGTAGGGTAAACTCAGGGCTAGGCAGTGGCGGCAAGGTAAAAGCTGACCCTCTGTGAAGCTCTATCACACAGAAAGGTTTCCTGCTCAAGTGCAGAGACCGCCCTGGGTTTTCTGGGCATATCTCTGCCACGAGCTGGGGCTGGCAGAAGGCTGTGGGTAGAGCGTGACCCCAAAAGCAGGTGGGAGTGCCGTCTCTCTCTTTCTAAGCACACACCTCTTCCTGTTTTCCTCTCTTTCTCTTTCAAAAAAAAATTTCCCTCCCTCTTTGTGTGTCTCTCTGTTCATGGAAGAAGTAAAATAAAATAAATAAATAAATAAATAAACATAACAAACTAATTCCCATAGAAAGTACAGCTACAGGCAAAGAACTAGGTAAAATAATATTCCAAGACATAAAAGTTGATCACTCACCATTTCTCTAATAAAACTAGATAGATTTCCCTATTGGAAATGTTCCTGGAAGAAAACTTGGCTAAATCAGGGCTGGCAGGTGGCATGGTGGTTAAGGGAGTTGGATTCCCACATGGCTGACCGTGGTTTGAGTCCTGGACCTAGCAGCTTGCTTTCTCACTCTCCTCCTCTTTCTCTCTCTCTCACACTCTGTCCCTCCCTGGCCAAATTAAAATTAAATAAGTAAATAAAGTTGAATTTAAAAAATTTTTAAAAAAGAAAATTTGGCTACATGATTAGAGCTGGGAATCTAGGGTGAATTTCTAATTACGCAAGTCCAAGTGCCGAGTCCTAGGGGAGTCCAAGGGAACAGTGAGATGTAGGCTAGCAGGCAGAGGCTAAGAGACAAGCTAAAATTTGGTAGAAATCAGAACAGTCCATAAGAGCCTAACACATCCCATGAGCAACAGCTGAGTCACGAGTCCTCAAAGACATGTTCTCCAACCACGTAAGCGACACTAGCCTCACATCACAATCTACGCATTGCCTGCTGCTTTTCTTCTTAGCTGATGGTGCAGCAGACATGCAGCACTCTGTGTTGCTGGACCCACATTAGAAGGTTTTGGGTTCACATCCAGAGAGCTCCCTAAACGTGCCAGGTGTTTTATGTGACCAGTGATTTTGGTGGTCTAAGGGTAGGAACAGATCATGATGTAGAAACTGCATTAGGGATGCCTCCCTCTCCTCTTTCTCTAAAGAAAAGTTTTTCAAAATGTGAAGGTTTTAAAATATTATGAGTTTTCTGGTTTTTTTTTTTTTTTGCTTTTTTGTGTTTTTTTTGTTTTGTTTTTTTTTTTTAACTTGTGCATATATTTATACCTTCACGGTCTGCATCCCCTAAATGTCCACTTTCAAAGGACAGGCTCTAATCTGTCTTCTTCCTTACTCACTCCCAGTACCTACATTTCCCACCACACTGAAAGCCCTCAATAACTATGTGTGCAATAAATTCTGGAATTTTTAGCATGTATTTCAGAACCTCTAATCCATGTTGTTTGTGTGATAAGACTCTTTTAAAAGAACTTCATCGGGGCCAGCAGATGGCGTGTCAGTCCTGGACCTGACAGCTTGCTTTCTCACTTTCTCTCTCTCTATGTCTCTCTCACTCTCTCCTTCTCTGGTCAAATTAAAGTAAATACATAAAGTTAAATAAAGAGTAATTCTTTAAAAAAAAAAAAAGGAACATTATCATGGTGGGTAAAGAAAGGATAGTCCACAAAGAAATGTCACTAAAATGAGTAGGATTAAAGTGATAGACTTGGTGATTCTAGTATGAATATCAGATTTATAGAAAACTTTTTTTTTTTTTAGAAAAAGATAAAGGCAGAAGACAAAATCATGAAAAATGGATGAGGCATTTCAGTAATTCATTTTATCAACAAACATTCTTGACCTAGATATGCTAATTTCAAACTTGTTTGGGGAGTCTAGTGGTAAGGAAAATATAAAAAAGGCAAAAACTTACAGTGGAGCAGCATCTAAACTGAATTTAAATAGAATGGAAAGACTTGAGCATGTTTTCTGTCCAAAGTAAAGCAAGCATGAAGTAAGATCTCAAGATTATATATATATATATATATTTTTTTTTTTTGGAAAAGTTTTCGCTATAGGGCGCGTGCGCTCACCAGACAGACAGAGACAGAGAGACAGAAAGGGAGAAATAACCCCCCGGGGGGATGGCCACACCGCAATCCCTTCTCCTCTGTCCTCCTCTCAGGATCTTGGGCACGCATGCACACGTGCCCAGCGTGAGTTTTAAGCCACTGGGTCCAGGACACAAACCGCGGTCGACTATGTGGGAGTTCAGCAATATAGCCAGTATAGTAACTGCTGGTCCTGATCTCAAGATATTTTAACTTAAACCTAAAATATACAAAACAATACCCAAGGGGAGGTATCTAGAAGCAGTCTATAAAGAGCAGCAATTAGTATTGCAGAACTTAGGGACATTCTTCAGTGGGGCTAGAAGGAAGAACAGAGGATGGATATTATAGTTTAAATAGGATAGTAAAGATATTTGAAAATGACAAAGATCTAACCAGATGCCTTCCCTATTCTCAAATTAGAAAGTGAGGTCACTAAAGGTGATAAAAGCCTCAACTAGTGCTTTGGATATTATAGACCATTTCTGCACCCAAGCCTCCTCTCATGTTGCTGGATTGCAGGTTCAAGGGACCCTCTCGGATCTTTTCTTTTCTTTTTTAATTTTATAATTTCTTTTTTCCCACTTCTTTATTTTATTTTATAATTTCTTACACTTAATTGTTGTGTATTTTTGTTGGGTACAATGTTTTTTCAAAGCATGCATGCAGCATGTTATAATCATATTAGAGATCATACCATGCTCATCATTTTCAACAAAGAGCGTTTCATTATGTTGTGCGCTATTGACAAGCTTGTCTACTTTCCCCACTCCTTTTGAACATAGTATTGGAAGTATTGGCACAAAAGTTTTTCATCTTTTCCCTGTTCTGTATGATGTTAGCTGTAGGTTTGTCATATGTCTTTTATTGTGTTGAGAAATGTCCCTCCCAGTAACTCTTTTGTTAAGAGAATTAATCACAAAATAATGTTGTATTTTATCAATTTTTTTCTGTAGCTATTGATATGATCATATGCTTTTATTATTCCTTCTGTTAATATGATGTATTACATCTGTTGTTCTGTGTATGTTGAACCACTTTTGTTTCCCTAGGATAAAGCCTACTTGATCATGGTATATATCCTTGTTTTTTTTGGTTGTTGTTGTTTACCCCCCCCCCAAGAGAAAAAAGAAAGTTTATTGAGAGAAAGAGCACCTGGGGATCTGGACTCGGAGGTGCTTCAGCCCACCCTACCAAGGAGACATGTACTTACATGGGGGTGGGGGGAGGGGCAGGGTCACAAGAACGCCAGGTACTTGGATTAGCTCTTCACCACTGGGACCTTATCAGCCCATCTAGGGGCCTCAGTTCCCAGTAAGGGAGTGTTCTGGCCAGAAGATTCTGGCCAAAGGTCACTGAAACCATTTCCTTATTTCTGACAGGAAATTACCTAAAGGCCAATCAGAGGCCTTTATCATTTATAAAAAATCATTTCCAGCCTTTATCT